CATATTGTATTTATCAATTCTTCCTGCAACTGATGAACTATTTGACAATTGTAAATAATGCTGCCATAAATGTTTTTGTGTGGACATATGTTTTCCATTTCTTGGCTTGGAATACCTAGAAGTGTTGCTCAGTTTTTATATTGAGTTGTCTGGTCATTATGGAGCTCTTAGGTATATAAAGTTTTAAATTGTGAACTTGCAGGTGTATGTATTTTTTTAAATTCAGGTAACCCTAGTCATTTTACTTTTGATGTAAACATAACAAAGGGTTTATAATGGCTTGATTATCCAGTGTCTTCCAAATATTGTTAAGTCAACTTATTGATTTCATGATGATGATGATGATGATGATGATGATGATGATGATAAATGTTAACATTTTCAGTGGGTCAAGCCCAGGGTCTCAGGCACAGTAGGTAAGTTCTCTGTCACTGAGCTATATTCTGGGCTGTATATTATTGATGTATTTTTTTAATCTTAAATATTTCTTCAGATTTTACTCCTTCCTAGAATTCCTAGTCACCGATTGCATGAGAATTTATTCATATTGCCTTCTCAGTAGTGCCATCATACTAAGGTATTGACCTAAGTCTTTAGGGGGGAAGTTTAATGCTCAAATATGAGAGTATAAATATAAGTATAAATAAATACCCCAGTTACATTTGGTGACTTAAATAAAGGTGCCTTGGTGGCTGTCTGTCAATTTTTTATTTAGGGGCTGCATGATGTAGAGTGGCACCCTGTAAGTTAACGGAGCTGTGGCTGTCCTGCTGTTTCTTTCAGCATTGCTGATAGACAGAGTGCCTTGGAGGCTGAGCTGAGGACAGTGCAGGCCTCTCGCAGAGATCTGGAGAACTTTCTAAAGTGGGTCCAAGAAGCAGAAACCACCTTGAATGTGCTTGCGGATGCCTCTCAGCGGGAGAATGCTCTRCAGGACGGGGTCTTGGCCAGGGAACTCAAACAGCAGATGCAGGTAAGTGTGTGGAAACCACACCAGGATTTTTGTTTCTGCTGTGCTTTCTGGATTCATCTACATGCAGATTTATTACTGTTAAAAGGTGAGCCTTTCACCTTATTCAGTTATGAAATCCATGTGCCCCTGTGAATAATTGGTTTCTGGAAATAAGATCTTTAAAGTGCTTTTACTTAATATTAGAGGGGGGACTCCCTGTTTTATGGAAGTAATAATTGTTTATTTAGAGGTAGAGCCTCAATGCTCTTCTGTTTTCTGTCACTTTAAGCTCTATTGGAGTTAGCTTTATTGAATCCTAAATTATAAGGGCATTTTCCCTTAATATGAAATAGTTTCTTTCCCCATTCATTATAAATACTTAATATAAAAGCTACAAAAGCCCTATGGCTTGGTTTACAACTCAGGCTATTAGGCTTGAAGGTATTATTTTTATGTCTTTAGCTTGATAGCTATGATTGCATATGCAGTCCGAGGTTCAAATTTTTCTTCTACAAGAAATGTTCTAATGTAAASTCTTTTCTTTAAACAAATTTTCTGAGAAATCTAATGAAGCCCATCTGAATCTGTTTTCCACCCCAAGTCCTGCTGCTTCTGTGCCCTTGAACCTCTCATTTTATGTGTGAGTTGACCTCTTCTTGCCAACCACATAGGCCTTCTCACTTTGAACTTAATTCAAAACCTATGTCAGCAGGGAATTCTCCTTGTCTAGTATAGCTTTACACCTGGTGGTCTCTTTATGCCATGGCAGTCACACATCAGTTTGACAATTGCAATTTCTGATATGCTGGTGAATATATGTTCTATTGTCGTTTGATGCATATGTCCACCTGTATCCAGTTCATCACATGGTTCTTCAAGGACAGCAATGATGCTATTCCATGTTGTTATGCATAGAGTGCTCTGGATGCAAATCCTAAGTCTGAACTGACTGCTTCCCTTGGACCCTGACTTCACCTGTTCAAATTTACTATTGAAGATGGTATTTGAATCAACTCTTGGGAACTCTTTTCCCTGGACATATCCAAAAGATTGTTCTTTTAAAAAAGTCAGTGAATATGTGGATCTGGATAAAGAGTCTAAAGACTTTGTTTGAACTCTTCTTATTCTTATACTTTCTAAGTTTGAAATCATTTTCATTAAAAAAAATTTACAGAATTTTTAAAAAGAAACTTTTTTGGTACAGGTTTATATATAGCTTGTTCCCATGCATAAAGACTCTTACTGTGTTTAACGGTTGAGTTTTTAAGATTAATTTAGTGAAAATCTGTTGACTTACATTACATTTAATTTCTTATTCATTGCACAATATATTTGTGACTTGGTAATGAGAATAACCAGGCAAGTATTGAAATTAAATGGGTTCTTTTGTCTCACCCACTGGAGTCTCATAAGGTCACTATTAATGTTAATTGATACAGTATTTTGCAATCATCTGGATGTTAGAGGTAACAGAGGGTTGTCAATGTGGGTAGATGATTATTTTTTATGGTTTAAACAAACGATAAGCCTGATCTATAAGTGCTTATGTATATATTTTAATTTGTGTGATGGTTCTTACTTCAACATATTTAGACTATGCACTTGAGTAGGTAACAGTTTATAGGCAGGGAACAGAGGAGACTTAAAATGAACTTGATAATGAGTACCAGCAAAACACAGGTCTGCTGGAGAGTTTAATGTTGTTTTCTGATACATTTTGTCTTATTCTAACCATAGCCCAAGCTCCTTTCAATATTTAATGAATATTCAAACTATGGTAGAAATAAATTTAAATAGAAATGTTTAAAATCTTTTAAATAAAAATAACTAAGCACAGGATTACTTGTCTTAGAGCAAATAGCAACAAGAGAAAAGGCTGCTGACTAAAGCACTAAAATATAATGTATATAGTAATTGTTTTTCAGAAATAATGGTGCTAATATTGTCTGCTTAGATTCATAGGAAGTATTAAAAAGTGCATTTTCAGGGCTGGGGTTGTGACTCAGTGGTAGAGTGCTCACCTAGCATGTGTGAGGCCCTGGGTTCGATCTTCATCACCACTTAAAAAAATAAATAAATGGAATAAAGATATTGTGTCCAACTACAACCAAAAAATAAATATTAAAAAAAGTACATTTTCAGGAGCCTACTTAAATCTGTTTATCTGAAGGTAAGAATGTGCATTTGTTATGTTTAGGAAGTTTCACATTAGGGTAATTTGTATGATTTTTTTTTTCTCCTTTGCTTCTTTACTAAATGCTCTTAATTTGAAAGCATTCTCTTCATTTTATTAAAAAAAAAACATATTCTGGGAGTTCACTTTCAGCACCTTATTGGTAGGTGATCTTTAGAGGTTTAGTATCTTTGGCTGAGTATTTTTGAGGCAAGAGAATTTTAATTTTCCTATGGGCTTACACAGTAATGATGCTCATTTGTGTGAGTGATTTAAAATAGAAACTTGTTTGGAAATGAAAGATTTTTGTTGAATAAACAAATGTGCAAAACCACTGGAAGTCTTAAATTTTTTGGAGGCGCAGTAGTGGTAGTGGGCCATCTCTATAGGCACTGTGCAAGATGGAGAGACTTTGAAGGAGTTGTGCTCCATGCATAGAACTGGTTAGACGACGTGTTCACTATTTATGTTTGCTTCATGTCTTGTGGTTGTATTTTGTGAAGATGAAATTTATTTTATATTCCATCCAAAGTGAATCTTGGTTCAACTTTGATAGTTTGGAAACACAGTGGAACACGAAGATGAATTTCTGGATGTGTGTATACTGCCTGCCATTTTTTGTCAAGGGATACATGGTGATCTGGATTTATGTTTCAATACAAGATCCAACACAAGACCTCAGCAGAGGCCTGTTGGCAGGAGTAAAGCAGATCCTTTGGTGACTTGCAGGAAAGAGAACCTCCTTGAGAACTGAGCAGTCTAGACCATAAAGGGCCTTGCATACCTGGTTAAGGAGTTTATACCTCAGCCTGGTGGCAGTGGGGGAGAAGTTGACAAGGATAGTAAGCCAGACATGAATGTGACTTCTCTTTTATAGGAATCTAGCTAATGGCATTATGAGGAATGGATTTGCACTAGGAAAAAATGACAATTGTCAGAATACATAACTCTCCAGGCCACGGGTGAGAAGGACCAGGAGAGAGGAGGTAGTAGAGGGAGTGGAGATACATGCCTTGGCAGTATGGGTCAACTGAGTCGGGGAGTATTAAAGACAAGGAAGAAGGCCTTGTGGTAGTAGAGCCTGAGGCAGGGAACACGGGGAAATTCCAGGACTGGGTGCAAGTTAGTTGGGAAAGTGAAGGGATGGCAAATTCCAGTCTGACTATATTGCAATGAGGCACTTGAGTGACATCTAGGAAGAGCTGCCTGGGACTCAACGGTTACTGTGACTCTGCATCCCAATGAGAGAATTTGGCTCAAATTTGAGAAACTATTATTTATTTATTACTTCCATGTGAAAACCTGTATTGGCTTACCAATTAGTTTATTAATTAAGATACATTTAAATTTTCATGGCCAACAGTCCAGGACATGATTTTAATTATATATTTTTAATTTAAGCTTTGTATTTTAGCAGTACCAATTAATTGAGATGTTCTGAGTCTTTCCTGGGTGACATTTTGAGGCCATGAGGCCTTTCTGGAGTGGTATAATAGGTGGCTGGTTTTGCTCTGTAACAATTTGTGTTTTAGGATTATTATATTTTCGTCTCTTAGTTTKCTTTTAGCCCAGTTTTTAATCCTTGTGTTCCACTGGTGCAGACTTTGTAGATTATTTTGGATCTTTCTCCATATCTAGCCTTATACTCGGCTCTGTGTTTTGGGAGTAAATAGTTCTCTCCTGGGAATCCACCTGCTGGTTCTGGAATGGTAGTTATACTGGTCAAGCATGCCTAATCCAAAAATCTGAAATCCAAACACTCCAAACTCTGAAAGTTTTTGAGTGCTGACTTGATGCCACAAATGGAAAATGACACACCATGAAAGTTTGTCCCATGTACAAAATTGCTAATATTCTGTACAGAATTACAATCTGGCTGTGTGGATAAGGCACGTATGAAACATCAAAGAATTTTGTTTAGACTTGGGTCTCATTTCCAAGATATCTCTTTATATATTTGCAATTACTTCATCCCCAAATCTGAGAAATCTGAAATCCAAAATACTTCTGGTCCTGAGCATTTCAGATTAGGGATACTCAACCTGTAACTTCCTATTTTTCTTAGCAACCTTATTGGTTATGATTCTCATACTATGTAGTCTACTTTACAATTCAGTTGTTTTTAGCATATGCACCGTTATGCCACCATCACGAACATCAACTTAGGACATTTTTATCACCTCGACTGACAATCCTTTTCTCTTTAGCTATCAATCCCTTATTCCATCCCACCATTCCTTTCCCTCCACCTGAAGTAATTACTAATTTATCTGTTTGCCTACGAACTTAACATTTTATTTTGTGGGCTTAACTATTTTACACTATGACAACACGTTCTGTTTTGGGCTTTAACAAATTCCATTGATACTGTTAGCCTCACCAGAGGGAGGCAGTATAGAATCTCAGTAGAAATTTGCAGGAGTGAATACATACCAGCAGTAGGCCACAAGATACTTCTTGATAAACAGAACCCTGTAAGACCCAGTGTAGGACTTTAAATCATTCTAACATGAAGGACTGAGGACACAGATGAAGTAAAAGAAGAGAAAGAAATCTTTGAAAACCCAGCATTTCGTTTACGGAATCATGACAACATTGGAGGTGGTACTTCAGCACTGCCCAGGTTATTAGTCTGAGCAGGATTCTGATGGGAAACATCTGGGTTCTATTTTTGGCTGTGCTCTTTGACCCAGTCATTTAATCATCTTGGGTTAATCTGCTCATCTCTTAATGGCACTTTCCCCCAATTGATGTTGTGATGCTATTCAAACTGCAGTAGAAAATGTGTCTCAAATATGTATACAACACACATAAAATACCCCAAAATTCTGTCCTGGCTCTTTGTATG